TATGGTTGAATGGTAGAACATGGACATCAATGTTTTATCAACTTTAAAATACTTTAGCTTTCTTAGTCTTTTGTTCACTTTTTTATGCAGGAGAGAAGTGTGGACACGCCAGTTGAGTTTGTTGTCTATTGTAACACCCAAATACTTCTAGTCTGACACTTGCTCCATGTTTTCACATTTCATGTCAAGTGGCTGCAGGGGCAGTTTCTTTATTCTAAAATCAACAACAAGGTCTTTTGGTTTTTTCACATTTCAAAGCAGATTCTGATTTTCACACCATTTAGAAAAATTAAGTACAAAATTCCGGTAAGAGGGAGAGAGGGAGGGGGGAGAAGGAAGGGAGGAGGGAGGGAGGAGAGGATGTGTGAGAACGTATCATGTATACGTTCACTGGCTTTTTGTGTGTTTTGAGTTGAGATGAGGAAGGACGGAAGGAAGGAAGGAAGGAGCGGATGTGTGGGAACGTATATGTGTACGTTCATTGACTTGAACATAATGTGTTGAGATGAAGGTATTGTTCAAAACGCCAAGCGCACTGCTATTAGGAGTGGGAGCTAGAGAAACTATTTGCATAATTTTTACTATTATTAATTATTATTATTCATATCATTATGTGTGAACGTGTATGCTGCGTACATGCATGTGTGTGTATACGCACGTGTTAATGAGTGTGTGTGTATACGCACATGTTAATGAGTGTGTGTGTTGCTGTGTATACGCATGTGTCAATGAGTGTGTGTGTATATGCACGTGTTAATGAGTGTGTGTGTTGCTGTGTACATGTATGTATGTGTATACGCACGTGTTAATGAGTGTGTGTGTATACACACGTGTTAATGAGTGTGTGTGTATACACACGTGTTAATGAGTGTGTGTGTATACGCACGTGTTAATGAGTGTGTGTGTTGCTGTGTACATGTATGTATGTGTATACGCACGTGTTAATGAGTGTGTATGTTGCTAAAGGAATCCTGAGAAGACTACAAATCAGAATTCCTCCTTAATCAGCGGCGTACAGAAAAACAACAACACGTACACTGAACCTCACAATCGGGTTTGAACTCACAATCTCTATCACTCATTCCTCGCTGACAACGTACAACTAAGGCATTCACACAGCACTCCCATGGTGAGAGAGTCTGGAGGACATTACCATATTGTGGTACTGGAGGACATTACCATATTGTGGTACTGGAGGACATTACCATATTGTGGTACAGGAGGACATTACCATATTGTGGAACTGGAGGACATTACCATATTGTGGAACTGGAGGACATTACCATATTGTCGTACATGTCTGGGAACGTCTGTTTGGTTTTGGACCGGCGACCAATCCACATCATCCGCTCTCCGTCTTTGTCCCTCGTGTATCCGTTTATGTGCACTCCGTACTGGATAAAGCCAAACAAACCTGTGGGAACAACGCAAGGAGTTTGGTTTGTCTATTGTTTGGCAAGTGTTTTACGGCACTTGCAACTGCACAACGACGGCCCCATGATCAGATGGCCCCATGACCAGACGGCCCCATGATCAGATGGCCCCATGATCAGACGGCCCCATGATCAGATGGCCCCATCATCAGATATGGCCCCATCATCAGATGGCCCCATGACCAGATGGCCCCATGATCAGATGGCCCCATGATCAGATGGCCCCATGATCAGACCTCGTAAGAGCCAGAGAGAACATTTTCCAGGAGAAGGAAAAAACTGATAAATTTTAAAAGGGCGTTGTCGAACCTCTTCAATCTCACATACACCGCTCAGAGCAAAGTCACTAAACGTGGGCTAGTTACTGTAAAAAAATAACTATAGTTTTTCTACCGTGTTTGTGATCAGATTTCGTAAGCAATGACGATTGTCGTTTGCGAGTTTTGATCACGTTGAAATGTTGGTGCATACTCGTAAGCGACAATATTTTCGTATGACAAGAACCGACTTGAGTAGACGGTGGTCAGGACACCCAAGTGAGATCAGGGAGGTTAGGGTTTGATTCCCGCCCGGAGTACATTATCATTGCAATATCACGGCTAAGTTCTCGGAGAAGGGAGAAAAGTCTCAGAGGACCCGAGAGCAATTTGCGCACGTTAAAGATCCCCGCGGTCCAAAATCGGCTGCCACTGGGGCAAAATTTAAAATTCCTACCTACTGAAGATGTTGCGAGTCCCGCACGCTCATATGAACGGATGCAGTTGCCAGCGCCGTAAGACGTTTACCAAAAATGTTTTTTCCCAAGTAACACCTTATAAGTTTTACTTTAGCTGAGTA